ATAACTGGTGATTATAAATGGGTTTTATTTATAATCACCCCTATCTATAATCACGTAATTTTTAAAAACTAAAAGAGGTGATTATAGATAGGTCTGACTATACTCTATATATTGATATATATTCTATTCATACTAATTACCTTCAAATACTATAATTTCACTGATCCTTCACTTTTTTTTTTAAAATTTCCATATTTAGTTTGTCCTTCAATAATCTATAAGCAGCTTTAATTTTATTGTCTGAAGATTAAGAATGGGTGGAAGCTAAGGAACATGTCTAAGGAACATGTCTATCAATAAAGGTTAAGGGCGATTGATCGATAAGACGATAAGACTATCTTTTATAAGACCGTTAAAAAAGACCGATCCTATGATAACAAGAGAGGCCGTCCCAAATAAGGAAAACAGTTACACAATTTATTAAATTTTTTTTTTATACAAATATATAATACTTTTTGAGGGATCAACCTTCTGCATTTCTTCAAATGAAATGTCGGTAAGATGCCTAAGCAAATTTGAAGCTTTCTTACCGCATTTTTATAATATATATTAAATCCTTTTAAATCCCATAACCTTTATGTTACTATTAATTATTTAAAAACATATTTGAGAATAAGCATTATATAGAATGCCAAACCACTGAATTGATCAAATTCTGTTAGTTAAAGGAAGAAAAATGGAGAGAAGCTACAAGAAATAATTTAATAAAGGTAAGTTGGATAGAGGGTAGTATTTTTTGTAATATTTATTATATACAGCTTGTAGAAAATCCTTTAAAAAGAGGTACTAAGAGAGCAAAAGTTGTGAATAAAGAAGCTATAAATGAAAATGTCTTAAACATAGTTGAGAAAGAGGCAAATACAAATGATAACCTTGCTTGAGCTATCAAAGTGATGGCAAAAATCCTTATGAAAGAGAGCATTCAAGAAAAGAAGATCCTATTTATGCATTAAACAAAATGTGAAGAATACTTCAGAAAATTGAACTGTGCTTGACTGATTTCTTTGATCAACTCTATTTAGCAGCTCGAACGTAATAAACAAAGCATATGAAGAAATTATAATACTCATATATTATCTTCTCACTTCATTGAATAATACTAAAATTAATTGTTTTAAGGTTGATTTTGTATATTATTTAGATTCAGTGAATATGAGTAATAAAAGTCTGAACATGATGGCAAATCTTGATATATCCATTATAGCAAGAACAGTAGATCATAAAAAGAAGAAAATGTCAGATATACATAAGGGATATATTGAGAACTTTCTTGAAAAATATTTGAATAACAGCTTTATATTGAATATCGACAATTATTATAATATTTACATTTAAAGATAAGTTGATACTATTAATACATCTTTGGCAACCTACATGATCACAATTTTAATTAATCCATATTCTATACCAGCAATTTTATGTAATAGAATAATCAATTCAAAGATTATTGATAGTGAATTGATTTTAAGATATATTAATAAGCAATTTATTATAAATTTTAAATATTTCTTATTATGATTATATAAGAGATTATATGGTAAGAGATTCTGATGATGAGATTTTGATAGATAGATTAACATTATACAATTATAATAACTGGCTAATAAAGAAAAGAATAATCATTATATACAAAATATAATTCTTATTGACTTTGTTGAAAATAATTTGAAAAGCGTAAAAGATTATATGAAGTTCTTCAAATTGTAAATGATTAACAACTAATGTAAGATTATTTATCCAACAATATAATTCTTATTATTGCAGACTGGCCTAATCAATTATTTATTTGAAAAGTTATTACACATTGACTTTTTCTTAATGATAAAACTATTTTTCTATTTGTTACATCATTTATATCTATTATAGATTTTTTTCATGTATCTTTGAATTTTTGCAAGTTTTTTGTAAAAAATTCATTTTTATTTAACGATTTTTATAAAAGTATATTTAAAATACATAAGCATTTTAGTAAAGACTACAACTATAGAGAATTGATCTAATTCTTCATATTATACATATAACGTGATTTGATATTGCTAATACTGTCTATTTGAAGTTTAGTAACATGTATAAGAATATAGAGTTTTTATATATAATTGATTTACTAAACAATTTGATTTCTTTAGTTCTCGATATCTATGTGATGCATCATCGAGAGGGAAACTGACTGACCTATAAAAAATCTTGCATGCATTATTAGAGTGATCTATTTTTTCAATTGATTGAAAAAATTACAAATGTACTCTATTAATATTTTTTTCAGATATTTTTTATTAGATAGAGATTAATCATCTGATGATAGGCATGTTTACTAATCAACTTGCTTCCCTTAGTGATTGCCCTGTAAAGTTGCTTACAGTATTATTTGACAACATACTACTAAATTTATCACATCTGAATAACTACAGAAAGAAACACACTTTATTTTTTAACATCGACAGGATAATGATTTTTGATAACACTTTATAAATTCTGTAAAATATTCATATCAACCAAAGCAATTATGAATGCTTTTTCAAAAATGTGCGATATTACTTTAGACGCATTTACAAAGATATATCATATGCATTACCAATATCCTTCTATTATGGCTTCATCTAAAAATAGTATTAACACCTACAAATTGCCTTTATTAGGTTATAAAGTAACTGATCGCCACCTTCTAAAAGGTTTTGTCACTTTCAGAAAACTAAATACAGCTATTTTATGTGATTATGTGTATTGTAATTTTACTAACAATTTGTTTAATAATAGTATTTTAGCGTGCAAGTATGGTTACCATAGTTCATGTTTGTGAAGATGCCAGAACGAAGTTAAGAAAAATGTTGATGTTTAGATGATAAATTTTTTGAAGATGGGATTAAATTCAAAAGAATTCAATCAATAAAATAATGAAATTGAAATCAAAAATGATTTGGATGATGCGGAAGAGGCAACGGATGATGGTGTAGCAATGGAAAATTTATTAAAGAATTTGAAAAAATCATTTATGGAATTATGATTTTTATTCTTTTATTTTTAAATAAAGTTAATTAAATAATTTTAATCTTATAAGATTGGACGTTTTATCTAATTATTTGATGATTTATGCGTTTTGTGATATAATTTTACTACATCGCATCATTTACAATAGTATTCTTTATTCGGAGTCACGTGAAAGTATTCACGATTTTGATTGGCTGATAAATCGGAATCCTATGATCAATCCTGTCGATCCGTCCCAAAAAGATTGGTATAAGACCGGTCCTATGACTGGATCGGATCTTGAGACATCAAAATTTTAATTAATAAAAATGAATAACATAAAGCAAACGTGGTCAGAAGAAAGTATTGCAAAGACACGCAAATCCCTCAAAGAAAGACTATCTGGCCATGCAATATCACAAACACTTGTAGGTTTAGAGAAAAAGTACAAGTATGTGTTTTATTTTTTTTTTTTTAAAAAAAAAGAAAGGTATTAATTAAGATTATTTCTCCTTTTAGAGAATTATATGATTTATTAAATAGAACCGTCGATTTTGGCGAAAGTAATACTTGCATGCTTATTGGCCCGTCTGGTTGTGGGAAGACAATGGTAAACATCACGTGACCTCGTTTTGTACTTTCCGAATAGAATTTTTAAACGATTATCTTTTTTATGTATATGATAAGCTTGTAAACAAGGTTCTACAAGAATTGTCTGAAAAGTACGATGACGATTTTTGTATCGTATACTTGAACGGGTTATATCAAACTAATGACACGACAGCACGTAGACAACTTACTCGTCAGTTAGGTATACATATTAGACAGGATGTGAGTATTAACGCGAATCAAAGTCCTTTAAAATCATTGGATGGTGTTAATATTAATATCTCTATTCTTAGCAAACGGATCTTGAAGTATTTGATCTGTTTAAATCAGGAAACCAAGCAACAAGACCTACCATCATCGTTATTTATAATTTCGATGAATTTGTGAAGAATTGTACCAAACCATTCGTGTACAATTTCTTTAATATAACTACTAGTAATAATAGTCCTATGGCATTGATTGGAATTACTCGGAAATTGGTAAGTTAACACACTTATTAAATTGATCAAATTTCATTTAATTTTTTTATTTTTTAAGAAAATCTCTATTTATCTTCTACAGAGCATATTCACCGATCTCCCCAGTAACATTTTGTCCCGAAATTCTTATTCTCATATAAATGTTGGACGCCCACATACGATTGAAATATTCACCCAATTTGCTATAAATACTTTGACCATAGATAATTCTGTTATTGATGATAAGGAATATTTTAAGATGTTTAACAAGAAAGTTCAGGTAAGTTCCCGTTCGAAATAGTTGCATGTGCATTTGATAAAATTACTGATTTTTCTTCATATAGGAATTATTTGAAAATAGAAGTTTTAAAAATATCATTGAAAAGATATTTAATAATTCAACAGATATCGTTAGGACTTTCTATAAAATATGTGTAAGTTTTGGAACCAAAAATATTTTTTAGAACGCGAATTTAAATTCTAATTAAGATCTTTTATTTTTGCATACCTTTAATTAGTTTGAACCTGTTGGTAATTTGAATGCGAATCAACCATTTCTTATAATAAGTGATTTCACTCAAGCGGTCATGCAACAAGATGTAAATATAGACAAAATTTTACAAGGTAAGAAATTATCGCAAAGAAATGTTTTTGTTTTTATTCTCAGCATTATATTCAAAACTTTTCTTTTCCTATCAACATTTTAAAGGATTACATGAACCTCAATTATGGATTCTGCTTTCCATTTTTTCATTAAGCGGACGTGATTGTAGCATATTTAATTTTGCTATGATTTATAATGAATATGCAAATTATTTAAAAGCTTATATGAACGAATCTGGTAGTAAATTTAAACAAAAATTGATAAAAGAGCATTTATTAAGGGCAGAATTTGAATTTTTGGAGCAAAGGGATATAATAAGAAAAGTTGATGGTGGTAAAGATTTACCCAAAGATTTCAGAATGATGAGACTTACCATTTTACCTGAGCAAATCGTTGATCTAATCTCAAACAATAATCGATTACCAAGTTTTATGAAAAAATGGATCTCATAATTCATTATAAAAATATGGTTACGTCATCCACGTTTATAGAAATATTGCTCATGTTAAAAATAAATACAACCAATCAGTGAACTAGTCGTATCTGACGCGTCAATATAAGTTTTTGATGAACCGTTAATTTTTTCAAAACATTCTCTTCCTTTTTCCCCTTATTTTTATATATATATATTTTTTTTAAAAAAGAAACAAACTAGAAAATGACTTCTACACCATTTTCAAACTTACACTCACGTATCATGCTCTCACAAGGTCGATCAAATCAATTTAGATCAGCTCTACCAAAGACTCCAAGGTCCTTGGTTAGAACTACGCAACGTCCTGTACTAAAACCTAAACGACGTTTTGTTATTAATAAAATTATTTTAAATAATTTCAAATCATATTTTGGTCAAACGGAAATAGGTCCGTTTCACAAGGTATAAGTCATGTTTTCTTGGAGATTTTCTGCGTCACGAGATTCTCTCTAATCATTAAAATTTGATTTCAAAAGTCATTTTCTGCTATCGTCGGACCAAATGGTTCGGGAAAATCAAATATCATCGATGCGCTTTTATTTGTATTTGGTTTTCGAGCAAATAAAATGAGGCAAGCAAAATTATCAGAACTTATTCATTCATCACGGGGTCATGAAAATCTGGATGCTTGCAGTGTTGATGTATGTTTTGAAGAAATTCTTGACTTGGTAAGGAAACAGAGAATTAAAGTTTTAATTTTCAAAAAATAAAAATAAATAAATAAAAAACTTAAAATTAATAACACATGATGTTCGATAATATTATAGCCTGGTTCGGATAATTATGAGGTTCTACCTCAATCTCAATTGGTTATCTCGCGTCAAGCTTTTCGCAATAATGCAAGCAAATATTTCATAAATGGACGACAAAGCAATTACACTGAAGTTACGAGTCTTTTGAAAGAAAGGGGGATCGATTTGGATCATAAACGATTTCTAATTTTGCAGGTTCCTTTTTTATTTATTTATTTTTATGTTATTCATCGTGAGGTAATGATTAATGTATTGACATCATCAAAAATGTATGCTTAAATTAATGATTAGGGAGAGGTTGAATTAATATCACAGATGAAACCCAAAGCACCAAATGAGCATGAAGATGGACTCTTAGAATATATTGAAGACATTATCGGAACTTCTAAATATAAAATCCCTCTTGAAGAAGCAAATGAAAAGGTTGAAACATTGAATGAAGAACGATCAGAAAAATTAAATCGCGTTAAAATAGTTGAAAAGCAGAAACGAAGTTTAGAGGTAACATATTAGTAAAGTCGCGTTTGTATCATATTAAATAATTATTATGATTCGAACCTTATTGAATTGAATAGGCCAAGAAAAAGGAAGCAGAAGATTATCTCCGAGATGAAAACACGTTATCTCTGAAAAAGTCTTCACTTTATCAAAGAAAATTGCTAGAGTGTAAAATTAATATTGAAACATCAACTAAGGCTATGGTAAGTCATTAGATTTAATTCAATAACTTATTCTGACAAACTAATTTAATATGGCAATTCATTTTATTTATTAATTCTTAGAATAAATTAAAAGATCAACTAAGAGAAGAAAATGAAAAGCATGTTCAGATAAAACAAGATAACAAATATCTTGAAGATAAATACAGAGATTCTGTTAATGCCTTTCAGGTAAAATAGTTATAATAATTTACAAATAAATAAACTTTCATTAACCTAATAAATGTATTTTATTTTAATAAGAAACTTGATAAAGAAACAAATGAATCTCTGACAGAATTGGCAAATTATGAGCAAGAAGATATTGACCTGGAAGAAAGAAAGAAACACGCAATTTCTAAACAGAAGAAAGTTACAATGGCAATTTCTACAGTAGGTTTTATTTGTTTATATCATTCTGATGCACCTACGAGACATAGAATAATAAGCTTTTTGTTATAGAATCTTCATGGACTTTCGGAAGCGAAATCAGCAATGCTATTTAATGAACAGGATTTGAATGATCGAATGGAAGAGATGGCGAGCTTGGAAAGATCTTTAGAGGCCCAAGAAAGTGACCTTGATAAGATCAGAGAAAGCTTAAGAGGTATGTTAATCGATTATTTTAATCTAATTATTATGTAAATACCTTTTTTATGTGTAACTGGATTTAATCTTAATATAGTCAAGTCGGAAGTTTATTCAAACCAAATTGAAGAAAAACAAAGAGAACTTGCACATTTGTCAGAGAAAATTATTGCAAAGCAATCACTTATTTGTGTCAAACAATCTGAGTTTAATATTTTAAAAGAGAAAGTTGATTCAATAAAACAAGATCATAAAAAAGCTGAAGAATATGCTTTCACGCTTAGAGAATCATGTAGGAAGAAGGTATTATTTTAAGGATCACTTTTTTTGATTATTTAATTTGCTTACTAATAATCTTTTCTACAAAGAATCAAATCAAAGACACGAAACTAGAAATTCAACAATTGGAGTCTGATTTAAAGGTTATTATTTATTGTTTAAATTAATTTATAAGTATTTTAAGGTTCTCATAAAATGTCTTTTATTACTTTTAGCATTACCTTGCTCAGAAAGAACATCTCAAGTCTAGTCTTGCTGATTCTCGACAACAAGAAGATGAGGCGAAAAAATTTTTTGAATCTTCTCAGTCTAGAGGAATAGTTCTTAGTAGCCTGATAGAGCTCAAAGATAATGATCGTATAAAAGGATTATATGTAAGTTCGTCGGAGCAGAGAGTTTCTATAATTTGTTTTGCTGTAATATCTTATTTATTTTAAATTTTTAATCAGGATCGTTTGGGTAACCTTGGTGTCATTGATGATAAATACGATGTCGCGATCACAACTGCCTGCCCTGCATTGGACAACATCGTTGTCGATTCTGTTGAAGTTGGACAAACTTGTATCGATTACCTTAGAAGTAACGATATAGGTCGCGCCACATTTATTACTTTAGACGAGCTGCCGACAATGGACATGCGCCCGATAAAAACGCCTGAAAATGTTCCTCGGCTTTTTGATCTCGTTAAGCCGAGAGAAAATATTTTTATCCCAGCATTTTACAGTGTGTTGGGTAATACTTTGGTGGCCCAAGATCTGACGCGGGCGAGTAGGATCGCCTTCGGCGAACCACGGTGGCGCGTGGTGACGCTAGTAGGCCAAGTCCTCGAAAAATCGGGCGCGATGAGTGGCGGTGGGCATTTAAAATCTAAAAGCGCTATGAGCTCGAGAATAATAACATCCGAGACCATAGCGAAATTGGAAAAAGACCGTGTCCACTTAGAAACGCAATGGCATAGATTTCAACAGAACCTTGGATCGTTAGAAGCCCAACTTCAATATAAAAAGGAAGAAATTCCTAAACTGGAGTTTGATATATTGAAGCTGGAAACGGATGCTGCCGCTTATTCACAGTGTAGTAGAAAAAGAGCATCCGAGTTACGGTATGAATAGAATTGTATTTTCCCAATAAATTCTTGGTCAGGTTTAATATTAATCATTGTTTTTAATTTTTCCTATAAGGCGACTAAATGATCCAAGTATAGATGATACCAAGAATATGGCTCGATTAAAATTACAAATCGATCATCTAACACAAGAGTTAGATGGATTGAAAAGACAACCCTCCAAAATCGAAGAGGAGATTAAGATTTTGCAAATGAAGATTTTGGAAATTGGGAAAGATAAACTTCGAGTTCAAAAGTCTAAAATAGATCATGTTAAAGATCAACTCGTTTTAATAAATGAACGAATTACCAAGTCGCAAGTGGCCAAATCAAGGGCGGACAAAGATATAACGAAATTCGAAAATTCTCTAGCAAAAAGTGAAAGAGAATTGGAAGGATTGAATAATGAGATAGAGAAGCTTACAAAAGAAATTCAACACAACGCGCAAGTTTCTCGTTCCATTCGTATTAAAGCCGATGAAGCCAAATCGGTATTTATTCAGACTAATGTTTAATTATATCTGTTTTTTTTTAAAAAAAATATATATTATATATATAAATACTTATTTACATTTTTCCTAATTAATTAGATTTTGGAAAATAAAAAAGAAGAATTGGATGAAATCAAGGAAAAACTTGATGAAAAAACCGAAATAATTAATCGGAATCGAGTAATCGAGGTTTATATTCATATTTATTCTTATTCTCTCAACGCTAAGCTAAATTTGTTTTTTTTTTATTAACCAATCACTGTATTTTATTAGTTAAAAATCAAAAACCAGCTTGAAGACTGTGAACGCAATTTGGCAGAAAATAAACAGAAAGAAACTCATTGGCGAAAATCTATTGCCAAACTTACACTTCATGAGATTGGGTAAGCATCATGATGATATTTTTAAAATATTCATTCTACCATACATCTAATTGACCTTATAAATAGAGGTGATGAGGAGCAAGAGTTTCAAATTTATACCGATGATGAGCTCGATACTATGAACATGAATACATTACAGGCAGAGATTGATGGTCTTAAAGGTATTCTAATTTATCTTTTTTTATATTCCACTTAATTCTTGATCTATAATATTTTTTTTTAAAAAATTTCTTCAGAGAAAATACAAAATGCCAATCCAAATATAAGTGTTTTGGAAGAATATCATATTCGTGAGAAAGAGTATTTGTCACGTGCTAATGATCTTGAAGAGATTACTTCTAAACGTGATGAATGTAAAGAGGAATACGACCGTTTAAGAAAGCAACGATTGGAAGAATTCATGCGTGGGTTCACTTTAATCTCTCAGAAACTCAAAGAAATGTATCAGGTATCTAAACGGCATTTTTTATTTCAACATATGTTACATAAAATATAAACTAATGTTTGTTTTAGATGATTACTCCCGGAGGAAATGCCGAGCTTGAATTTTACGACAGTTTTGATCCTTTTTCTGAAGGAATTATTTTTAGTGTTATGCCGCCGAGAAAGAGCTGGAAAAATATTTCGAATTTATCTGGTGGAGAAAAGGTATTCGTTGTTTCCAATGTTCATTTTAATTATACTTGACATGTAATGAATATTTATTTATCAAAATACAGACAATTAGTTCTTTGGCTTTGGTATTTGCTCTACACCATTTCAAACCTACACCCATATACGTCATGGATGAGATCGATGCGGCCTTGGATTTCCGCAATGTGTCAATCGTCGCTAATTATATTAAAGAGCGCACGCAAGATGCGCAGTTCATAGTAATCAGTTTACGGGATAAGTTATTCGAATCGTCAGATCGTTTAGTGGGAATTTACAAAACCGATGATCAGGTAAGATTCTTATGCACAAAATAATATTTTCAATGAAATTTTATTAATTTTTTATGAATAATGTTAATTTAGACAAAATCCGTTACTATTGATTCGCATAATTTTTGAAGGTTTTTTTTTTGAGTTATTAAACTGTCTATCAAAAGTATTACGTTAATTAATAAAAAAAATTATATTGGTTGAAGAAATATTTCTTTAAATTCATATTAATTTCACTTGTACATGAACACAAACTGTTCTTTAAAAAATTATAATACTTTTAAAATTATTAATGTAAATATAAATGAAAATTAAAAAGACTAATTTTACAAATTACTTTTAATGTGTTATATTTCTAAATAGATAAATGGGTTTGTGCACATTTTGCATATAATCAAAGACATTTCTTTTTATATAAATATTTAATTAATGCTATTAAAAAAGCAGATGCAATTATTTTATATAAAGATATAAAGAAATAGAAATTAGATTCTATAAAATTTAGATTTTATAATTATTCTATTAAATTAAAATTTATTTATTGAAGATGAGAAAAATTATATTATTGAAAGAATAAAAAAATGAAATTGGTTTCTTAGAAAAGAAAACAATATAGCTTAAATTATCACTAAAGACATTCAAATTATCAAGAAATTTAACATCCTTCTTTTTAATTTACTATTAAATTGTGATGTTTATAAGAAAAAGTTAGGTGATACACAAAAGTTTTAAGTGTAACCAAAATTTTCTTTATACATTTTATTATTCTATTACTTGATTAACTAATGTCTTTATAGATTACCGTATATTGCGGGCCAAAGTACCCAGTGTTTATTTTTCAATAAAAAATCACTGTGCGGAAGGCGCACAATCTATAAAATTTACTGTGCGCCATATAA